TATAGAATTTCTTCGTAAATGACTTATAGGGGAATTTTTGCTGGGAACGGAATTATTTTCCACATCTTCTATTCCATCCTACCAAACTTTAGTTAACCTGAGACCACTACTTTTTGTGATTAATGAATGTCCAACAGAACTCCCACCAAGCTCACAGTCCTGGACATCTGCATTACTGTGGGTAGTCACTCAACTGTAGCTGGAGGAGGCTTTACCAGAAAAGCTAATTGCCCCAAACTTTCCCCTTGGAATTAGAGTTGAGTTTTTGTTGCTTTGTTTTTTAATGTGCCCAATTAATCTTTAATTGGTGTGGGACAAATGTTGAGACTAACAAGAAGATTTTGGATGAATGGCTAACAATCTCTCACCCTACCTACCTCATTCACGGGGGAATGTAAGTGTGGATTGACCCAAAGCAGGAACTCCAGGGGTGAAACAAGGACTCAGCTCTGCCTTTTCATCAGCTCTAATCATCCATTAGAGATGTCCACCCTGGGAAACATGGAAAACATTTCACACCACCCAAAGCCCTGCACTGATTCCACCACAAGCTCCCAGTGGGGTCTGGGCCTCATATGTCAACACAGCAACATAGCTTTGAGGACAGTTTCCTTCCCACCAGACCTTGGAGTCATCCCAGGAACAACTGTTCAACCCTGGGCATGTGCCACCCGGTAGCAATTCTGAATATGGCACTGAGGAGAGAGATGAAATAAACACCTACTTAAACCCATAAATCTTTCTTAAATTAGTCATAGTAATTTCTTTCATGCTGAATTTTATTTCTAAAGCTGTGATTTCCAAAGCCATAAACTTTGGGTCTGAATGAAATCAAGAAGGGTTAGACGGCCGGGCACGGCCTGTAATCCCAGCACTTTGGGAGGCCAAGGGTGTGGATTACCTGAGGTCAGGAGTTCAAGGCCAGCCTGATAAACATGGTGAAACCCTGTCTCTACTAAAATTCCAAAAAAATTAGCCAGGCATGGTGGTGGGCAGCTGTAATCCTAGATTCTTGGGAGGCTGAGGCAGGAAAATCCCTTGAACCCAGGAGGCAGAGGTTGTGGTGAGCCGAGATAGCACCACTGCACTCCAGCCTGGGTGACAGAGCAAGACTCCCTCTCAAAAAGAAAAAAACAAATGGGTTAGAAATACAGCTAGATACTATTTCAGACCCTCTCCTTCTCATACTTTCCATCAAACCCATTTTTCTTTCTCAGTTTTTTTCAATTGTTGTTAAATATATATAATATAAAATCCACCATTTTAACCATGTTAGAGTATATACTTCAATGGTATATTCACATCGCTGTGTACCCATCTCCACCATCCATCTCCAGACCCTTGCTACTTTCCAAACTGAAACTCTGTCCCCATTAAAACTAACTCCCCATTCCCCCAGCCCCTGCGCCCACCGTTCTAGTTCCTGTCTCTGTGAATTTGACTACTGTAGGGACCTCATGTCAGTGGAATCACGCAGTATTTGTCCTTTTGTGACTGGCTTATTTCACTTATCATAATGTCTTAAGGGTTCATCCATGTTGTAGCCTGTGACAGAACTTCCTTCTCTCTTAAAGCTGAATGATATTCCACTATATAGACAGACAACATTTTGTTGGTCCATTTATCTGTCAGTGGAATCTTGGAGGCGCCTACCTTTTGGTCATTGTAAATGATGCTGCTATGCACATGAGTGTACAAATATCTGTTCGAGTCTCTGCTTTCACTTCTTCTAAGTCTATGCCTAGCAGTGGAATTGCTGGATCAAGTGGTAATTCTATGTTTAATCTTTCGAGGAACTGTCATAACATTTATACGAAGCTCCTAATATTTCCAGAAACCATCCCAAATAGTGGACATGACAAAGTCATTTCAATGCCATTTTGACACCCAAGAAATTAGGCCTTAGAATGCTTACTGTACAAAAGAACAAACAATCTACACTTGTCTCTCTTCAATGGAAATAGAGTTGTTTCTGTGTGAGGGTCTGTCACTACATTCTGTGGAAGTGGCTGGAGAGTTTACCTGGCTTACAAAGTCTGTTTCGAATGGCCTGTCGTAAAATTTGCTTTTGAGGACTCTGGTGTGGCACTTCAAAAAGTCAGCCACCATTCCCTGGAATACCATGTGATTGGAGAAGCAGATCGTGTCCTTCCTTGTGGAATAATTGTCCTGTCCTCCCTGGTGTTCTTTCTACAACGATCAGCATCCACAGTGCATGAGAGGTCAGAAGACCTGGTGCCGGGCCATGGACTAGATTCCTGACATCGGGCATTTGCTGTTTCTGAGTCTGTTTCTTTCCTTTCTTTTTGTTTTTCTTTTTTTTTAGACAGAGTCTCACTCTGTCGCCCAGGCTGGACTGGAGTACAGTGGCGCGATCTCAGCTTATTGCAAACTCCATCTCCCGGGTTCAAGCACTTCTCCTGCCTCAGCCTCCCGAGTAGCTGGGACTACAGGCGCCCGCCACCACGCCCGGCTAATTTTTTGTGTTTTTAGTAGAGACGGGGTTTCACCATGTTAGCCAGGATGGTCTTGAAATCCTGACCTCGTGTGATCTGTCCTCCTCGGCCTTCCAAAGTGCTGGGATTACAGGCGTGAGCCGCCGCGCCTGGCCTGTTTCTTCATGAGTAAAATCAGTACGCTTGCATGTGAAGACAACCCCATGTCTCTTCCAGCTCTAAGTTCCCACAGTGCATGGAGGCCCAGATGATCACTGCAGGAATAGGAAAAACCATCATCAATTTTGTAGTCTGGGAGTGACGGTGCCTAAACAGTGAGAACAAAAATACAATCTATTCTATTGAAAAGGTCTTAAGAGCTCAATAAATTTTGCCAAATTCGATCCATGGTATGCCTTACATCTACTACCTTTTACACTTTCTTTTCTCTCTTTTCCCTACAAATAGTCACTTTTTCAGGTCTGGCGATAGTCCAGTGAACTTTAAACAGAGTCCTCAAGATCTTTCCTGGGGCCAGACTCTTGTGGCACTAGCTCTGTCTAATCTTACTTCACAAAACTGCTCCACAGCCTGACTTCCTGGAAGGATGTTTTCCTGCTTTCCCTGACGACCAGAAGGACTTCCTCAATACCTACTCCGAACTCTGGTTTTTTTGGTCCAGACAGAAACATAAAAAGAGAGGTGCAGCATTCTAACATGCAGGGAGTGCAAAGGACTGGGAGTGTCAGGAGACCATGCTTAGCCACGCAGGAAGGCGCCGAGGAAACCGTGCTACTGAAAGGAGAATGAGAGCTGAGCCCCAGAGGAGGCATCTGCAGTCTCCCAGGAGAAATGTCTCACTCAAGAAAATGTGACGTATAATCATGAAAGACATATATTGTACATACCATGGCTGATTCCTACGAAAGGGGAAAACAACCAGGCAAATCTATGTGGGAAGCACAATTATAATATTTATTCACTTGAGTAAGACTCTATCCTTTGATTTGACGCATGGAGTGAGGACTTAAGACTCAGGACTTGGATGAGAAATGTAAGACACATGAATTTCCAAAATGAAAATAGTTATTTGCTTATGGTTCAATTACATGGAATAGAAGCATAAGCAGAAATCAAATGGTCAAACTTACAAAATCTGCTCTTGTTTCTGAACAGTGATCAGTGGCCTCACTAAAAGGACTCAGGGCGTGGATATCTCTGTGGGGTAGTTTATTCTAGCACTTGGGTGTGCTTTGTCTTGGCAACATGGCCCACGGCACCGGAATAGCGCACAGCAGCTGAATGCCATCTCCAGTTTTCCGATTTCACTCACAGGCTTTCAGTCTTTTCTGTTACGATTTTTTCTTTTGAAATCCTCATTATGTTTGTTATATGAAACACACCAAAACGTAGCATGACATGATCTCTCCCATCAAAGCAGAATGACACATGGGGAAAGAAAAACATGATCCCAGGGCTGGGAGATGGGGAAGAAATTGTTGAGTGTGGATCAAGGCCATCACCTGCCTCTGTAGCTCCCCTGGCAGGACTGGACATGTAGGAGGCACCCCCACAGTCAGTATTTATTTGGTGTTCTAGGTTGGAATAATAGTGTGATTCCACTCAAGGGAAAGAAACAAAATCAGATCTTGGTTGTAGCACTCAGTGCAGCATTTTGCTTGAATCTGGGGCAGGTGTGTCCTGCGATTCTGCTTGGAGAAGGGGAAGATCCCACAGACGAGCATCTCCACAGGGTGAGAGTTCAGCACCCAGCACAGTGTCTGCACAGAGGATGACAAAAATCTTGAATGAATGAATTGAGTTGAATAAGCAAACCTAGGACAGGATGTGGAAGGTGAACTCATGGTTCCTAAAGTCAGACACTTTGGCATTAGTGAGGTAGGCGTGTGTATGTGTGTACTCACACGCAGTTGTTTCTGTACTTGTGTGAGAGTTACTAATGTTGATCTAGTTGGCATTGTTTAGTTCCTAGAATAAATGAAGTATCATGATGTTGTTTAAGGGAAGAAAATTTACTTTGTAATTCTGTGGTGTTGAAAGTAGGGAAAGAAATAGGTTGACTTTTAAACACACAGCGGTGCACTCATGGAGATCACATGGAAATGACAGCAGTGTTGTGTCCTGAAAGCAAAAGCAAAACAAAAACAAGAAAAAACGAAACCAACAGAACTTGGGCACTTAAGAAATCCATTTCCTAATGGAGTAAGCAGATACTGCACTGCAAGCTACAATTTTCAACGTCGTTTACCCTATGCCTCCACCATCCGGTGAGGCAGCTCTAACAAATGAGATGCAGTGATGACCTTTACCAGCTCCACCGATAGCTATAAATTGAGCTGAACATTCTCATCAGCTAGCAGGACACAACTCATTACTGACCAAAGATTGCTACGATCTCTTGACTGAGATGTGTACCACTAAAATGAATGCTCCTTCACTCGTAAAAAACAATGTCTTGTACTACAGAAGACCTGATATGCCATTCGTTGGTTTTCGTGGATGACTACAAGAACAACCCCTAAAGATTAGCTGAGTCTTAGTGTATGTTAGTTAAATTATGATGCAGATCAATTTGTTCTTTTTTGAGAGAGTTGGATTTGTTGTTTCTTAAATTAGAACCTTTATCGATGGCGTGCATGGAATATAATTGTCAGATTTACAGTCCTGATGATTCAAGCTTACATAACCAGTTGTTCCAAATACATTAAAGTAAAACTTATATCCATCCAACTAAGTCAGGATTTTGAATTTTTAAAGCTTTGGGTACATAGAAAAATTTGGTTTTGTCAATTTTTTTTTGGCAAAACGACGCTGACTTTGAGAACAAACCAGTGTTCATGCCCAGGTGACATCACTTGCCCTGCTGTGATTATTAAAGCAACCCCTTGCACGGCCAAGTATCCTAGTCCAGATGATGAATTGCACAGTCTTATCAGAAGTGTATGAAATGGAAGGACCGTAGCCATACTTGATCTCCAGGATACACTTTTATCAGGCCCTGCAGGTAAGGTATTCCCATAAACCCTGTGGATTTTCACAGGAAGGCCTAAGTTACTCAGATGGCTGGGAGTTGTCGCTGGTTGCTTTCTGCTAATAATGTTAGTGGTCCTTATGCTTCATACTTAGTAGGACCTAATAGGTGAACCCAGATATGGTTCTAATGTCATTTAAGTTATTAATTGGCATTATTAATATCCCCATTTTTTTTCAGATAGGAGTATCAAGGCACAGAAAAGCCATATAACCTGTCTGAGATTCCACAGTTAATAGCTGGTAAGCATAGGAATTTTCTAGGACTCCAGGTTAAGCAACTACATCAGACATGGGTTCTCACTTCACCAGGAAACACATGCGAGGACATTCTTACTTCCACTTACTACAATATATTAATGACTTGTGTGTGATGAGACCTCCACCCACTCGGAGCTTAGAGTCATAACCCGGTTATCCTGTAGCTTTCAGATGATGAGTTCTACCTCTCTAATTGACTAGACTTTCTCTAATAATCCTGCCAAAGTCTTTATGGGTCAAAGTCAGAAGGGAAAGAGTCTGTGATCAGAGCCAGAGTCATACGACACAGTGAATTTATACTAATGATGCCACTTGGGAAACTTCCAGCATGTTTTGCTGGAGGAGCCTGGGAGGCAGTCTGTCCCTCTGCCCCTGGTGGCACAGACAACCCCCTGGAGTCAAATTCAGACTCACATTCTGCCTGAAGCAGAGGGACACAGGCAGCCACATGCCACCAGGAGATATCTGCCTTTGACATCCCACGTTTGTGACACGTGCCAGATTTTCTCAGAAAGAAACAGCCCACCACAGTCACTGTGCCATCAGGCACTTTGAGGCTTGCAGACATACATGGGCAAGTCAGAAGGAGTGGATGATTCCTTCTCAGAGGACCTGCCTACTTTTCCTGGGAGAGTGAAGAAACCTCTAATCATTTGTTTCTCTGTTTTTCCAACCCAGTGAGTAGATAGAATTGTTCCATGTAAGGATTTTTCTTCTCTCTGTATAAGACACTGGCCTTCCTGCTGTTTGCATTTTGGATTATTTTGTTTGCTTTTAAGTCAGAAGGACAAGAGTTATGTACAGGCAAAGCTTTTTCATAGATTCCACCTAAAATGTTTCTAGATGATTCCTTTTTTTCCTTTGTCAATAAAATCATGGGTGAATGTGTGGTCAAAAGATGCAGTTGGTTTTCCCCTTTCAGAGATCTGAGTGCCACTGGGGGAGGTGGCACCTCGTATTTATAAAATGTGTTCTTTCTTTTCTTTCTTTCAAAATGCCTGAACATTGCTGATCTCAATTAATCAGCACAGTAACCTTTTCAGAAAAATAAGGTATTCTATTACTGAAAATGAAAGACTGCAAGGCGAAGTAATTGGCCTCAAAAAACACTGCAATGGGATTAGAACCAAATTCTCCTGATTCCAAATCCAGAAGTTACAGTCAGAGCATGATTATATTTCTTTATTTGCAAGGTGAAGTAATTGGCCTCAAAAAACACTGCAATGGGATTAGAACCAAATTCTCCTGATTCCAAATCCAGAAGTTACAGTCAGAGCATGATTATATTTCTTTATTTGCAAGGTGAAGTAATTGGCCTCAAAAAACACTGCAATGGGATTAGAACCAAATTCTCCTGATTCCAAATCCAGAAGTTACAGTCAGAGTATGATTATATTTCTTTATTAGGATTCAAGTCAGCTCTCAGCAACAGAAAGATTAAAATAATAATAGTTTAAGAAAGATAGAAATTTATTTGTCTCTCAAATTCATTTATTTTCCACATGTAAGTCCAGAGGTGGAATCTACACTCTATTTTGCTTTTACCTTCCATTTCCAACATCACCTAGAGGAAAAAAATGGCTGCTGTAGCTCCAGCCAGCATAAAAGCCTTCCTGCTAGCAGACATGGAAAAGGAGAGGGGACTATCATGCTGCGTCCTAAAGCGATATCATGCTGTATCCCTTTTAGGATACTGCTTTAGAGGTTGCACGGCATACTTCTGGCAGAGCCAGTCTGTGGCAAAGCCTAAAATAGAGGCCAAATTTCCAGACTTTTGGACCAAGCTCTTTCCAACAATCTGTCCCTTACCCCTGGAGCGTTTCGTCACCGTTGTGCTGATGTAATCTTCTGGTCAAGTTTCTGTCTCTCAGCCTATCCATTAGTCTTTGCTAGTAGGAGATGATTTTTCTCAGGGATGCATAGATAAAGTAAGGTGGAGGTTTGGCTCCACTGGAAATGCTGAAATGAATTTACTGCAAAATGGGTGTTTTCTGTGGGAGTGGGGTGGGGCAGGAAAATCTATTGCATCTCCACCAGCCAAAATTCACTTGCGCCTGGTAAGACTCCTCACATTTCTATCAGTGTCTACAACTTACAGAGTCACAAAAAGCTCGGAGACAATAGGAACAGAAAAACAATCTTAGATTTATATAACAGCTAATCACAGGAATCCGTAACAGCGTGTATGTGCAAAATCCTTTTGTTTGTTATCAAAAAAGAGTTTGGCTGATAACACATTTCTGAGGATATTCATTCCTGCATAAATTTTCAAGGATTTTTATTCTTTGCTGATTTTTCTTTTGCCTTCACCCCTCTAAACATTTGAAAGCCTGCTTAACTGTATATATATATATTTTTTATGATAGGGTCAAGTGAAAAAATAATTTGCAAAAACAAATCCTAATTCTACAAATAAATTGGTTTTTTTTTTCCTTAACCATTTAGCAGGTGATTGACAATAATAAATGCAGAAAGAGGGGCTTTCTTGTTTTAGTGGGGTTTCCGTGTAACAAGCTGTTTAAAAGTCTAAACAGGACTCTGCTGAGGCACATAAAAATTGAATGGAAAATAATGGAAATGTAAAAGATTTTAAAAGCTATTTGGGCAGTGCGTTAATCAAAGACAAATTGGGCAGTCTCAGATCTTACGATTAAAAATTAAGTGAAATTGAAAGCCACTAAAATCATTTTTGAAATGTAGCTACTTCCCAAGTGATTTCCAAGCTGCGATTATTATTTTTTGAAAGTACTTGTCTATGTCATTACTGACATTGTAAAAATAGATATTGTGGTATCATTTTACCATAGTTTGAAGTTCACAGAATTTAATAACCTACCTCTTTGTCTATCCACATACACTTACCCATTTCAGCCCCAGACAGTTCTCCACCTTTGTTTCCAAGGTGTAGGTTTTCTAAAGCAAATGCCTCTTAATACCCTCAGACTTACAAAATACAGTACCTGGTTGCATTCTTGAAAGGGGGAAGGAAGCCATTACTGTGGTCTTTCTAACTCTTATTCTCAAGATCCTGCAGGAAAATCAGATGTAGTGAACCTCCCAGTCAGGTTATCCTGCCACGTATGTTAAAGTTGCCAGCGTAAGTTGGAATCAAGAAGCCTGCGAGAGGCCCTTGAGCCAGAGGGAGCTAACTAAGCAGCCAGCAATTCACTTAGAGTCCTAGAGAAGCTGGGAATTCCCCAGGTTTCGGGAGCACGTCTCACAAATGTCAAGGCTGTACCGCCTGGGTTAAGCCCTTACTGGCAGGGTTGCTGAATGCTGTTTGTATTTAGAATGGAAAGGAATATCATTAGAAAACTTGCTCTTTTGAAAGAAACCATTGTACCTCTTTTGAGCCCACATTGCCTTCCTCTGACAATTTTTGTGATGTAAACCAGAAAGAAGAAAACCCAGACACGGAAAATTAAAAACAAAAAAAATTGGAACTCTGTCTCCTCCGGGCCTAACCCTATGTACTAAACTGCAACCCTGCTGTAGAGCTTCCCAGCAGCGTCTGCTCAGGAGCTCCCTGAACTGTCTTCATCTGTACCATCAGTGGGTGTTATGGGGGTGTGCACCCCTGGCGTCCCACCTTCGGTATCTCCCATTTCCTGTACTTGTTTTAACTAAACACAAGGTTAGATGCTCACAGTTCAGTCTTTTTCAATTCTACCCTCACCCGACGTCCCCACATAACTCACCTCTGGAGGGCGTGGTCGCCTTCCTGATCATCCAGGGAGAAGCAGCTAGGCTCTTCTGAGTGACTGCTCCTCACCGACTGAGTCATTCCCAATCGGTGCCTGTCTTAGGGACAAGAGCTCCAACCCTATCGTACATTCCTGGAAATCAGGGATTATGTGGTTTTATTTTCTGCTTCATTTTTAATGAAATATTTTAAATATTTTCTTGAAAGGAGGAAGGAAAACACTGTGGTCTTTCTAACTCATTCTTTTCTTTCTTTCTTTCTTTCTTTCTTTCTTTCTTTCTTGTGCCCTTCCTTTCGCTTCCTTCACTTCCTTCCTTCCTCCTTCCTTCCTTCTTCCTTCCTTCTTTCTTTTCTTTCTTTTCTTTCTTTTTCTTTCTTTCTTTCTTTCTTTGTCCTTTTCTTTCTTGAGACAGAGTCTTACTTTGTACCATACTCTCCACAGAAAAGTAGAAAACATATTTCAGTGAGCACCTATATTACCAGTACAAATACCAATTAATTTCAATGCCTTGGCCATTTTTGTGTCCTCCATCAGTTCTTTTTTTGCTGGAAATATGTAAACATAAATTATACTATCATTTTCTTTCATCCCCGAATACTAAAACATTCATCTCCAAAGTATATCTTCCCATACATCCACAGGAACATCATCATATCTGACAAAAATGATCATAATCCCCAAATATTATTACATTCCCAGGCCATATTCAGATATCCTTATTCTGTCTCAAAATATTTTCTATAGCTTTTGTTTTCTTTAAGCCTGGATCAAATCAAAAATTATAATTCTACTTGATTATGTCTTTTAAATTTCTCTTAATGGTAGAATGGCTCCTCTCTCTTCTGTGATATATACTATTTCACAATACACCTGGATTTGGCCAGTTGTATTGTGTGCTCTCCTCCATTCTGGACTGGACTGATTGCTTTCTTGTGGGGTGATTTCACATGTCTATCTGTAATGTCCACTTGTCCCATGACTGGTGACTCAAAGGGGAGATTAATGGGCAAAAGAGGGGACCACCAAATTTCTGTATTATAAACATGTTTTTCCCATTGAGAATGGCATATTTTCTGTGGAATAATATCCCACTGGCTTTTCTCCAAAAGAGGTTAGCATCCATCGATGATCCTTACCTGCACCAAGTTTTACAACAGGGGCTGCAAAGTGGTGATATTCTAAATTAATCACCCCTTCTACGCTTACCAGTTGACAGTCTTCTGAAAGGTGGAACTCTCCTTCGTAAACAGGCTATTTGGTGTACCTGAAATACCAACAAAACAGGCAGCTGAATCCTTAATTGTTTTCAATTATTAGTTTTCAGTTTAAGAAGTTGGTATCATAGTTATGTTCAGCTATGGAAAATAAACAGTTTTGTTTTCTTTAATGCTTTGTGGGTATCGCTATGGACTCATGCTTTTTAAAATGTATTCGCTGTGTCTTCATCACTGATAGCATTATTCTTTTGGTGTTCGGATTGTCCTAACTTTGACCACAGAGAGCCCCTTCCAGCTGGTTCTTCTGTGCTTGTATCAGTAATCTAATGCCACAGAGTGCTGTGTAATAAACAACCAACAACCTTCCAGAACACATAGAATAAGTCATTTTCACAAACCTGGCTGTTGGCAGGTGGTGGTTAGGGAACTCCGCGTATCTCATGGCTGATTTGCTCACATGGCCGGACACCCAGCTGGATGTTGGCGGATCTGGAGTGGCCTCTTCTTGGATGACTGGAGCAACTCAGTTCATTCTTCATGCCTTTGATCCTTCTCCTGGGCCAGGACACTAGGCCAGGCATGTTTGTCTCACGGCAATAGCAGAACCCAAGAAAGAGCAAATCCACTGTGCAAGAGCTTCTTAAGCGCCAGCCCTCTTCTATTTCCTGATATTCCATTGCCCAATTCTAGTCCTGTGTCTGAGCCTAGAGTCATGAGAAAAGGCCCTGAAAAATTAGATGGAAAAGGGTGGGGTGAAGAATTGGAGCCATTTTGTAATCTACCATGGTCTTATTGACATGTCAATCTCAGTCACTTGTCTCCCAGACTGGTCTTTGCTTTCTGGCCAGTAATATATTTTAGATTTATAGTATACTTTGTGTGCCTCAGACCTGGAAACATCCATTTTTTTCAAGGATCCCTGGCTTATTTTAGGGAGAATGGTACTTAGAGACAAAAATCTAGGTGTCTGAGATAATCATGCTTCTAGCCCATTTTCATGGACAAGACTAGCAAGTATATAGTTTTGAACAATAAAGACACATTGGTTCCTATTGATATTTCTGATGCAAATTCAACATCACAGAGCTTTAAATTTTAACTGAATTTCCTTTTGTTTTTTAAAGACAGAGTCTCACTCTGTTACCCAGGCTGGAGTGCAGTGGCGCAATCATAGCCCACTGCAGCCTCAAACTCCTGAGCTCAAGAAATCTTCCACTTCAGCCTCTTGAGTATCTGGGACTACAAGCAAATACTACCATGCCCAGCTAACTTTTAAATTATTTTTTTTGAAGAGACGGAGTCTGGCTATGTTGCCCATCTAATTTTTCAGGATCTCAAACTCCTGGGCTCAAGCTCTTCTCCTGCTTTGGCCTCCCAAAGTGCTGGGATGACAGGCATGAACCACTGCACCTGGTCTGAATGTCCATGATTAAAAATGTGTATCTCTTTTCTCTTCTACAGAAAATCTTAGTTCCTAATAACATTAACAGAATTATTTATTTACTTGGAATTATGTCTGAGAGCACAGTGCTGTGATTAATACGGAATGTTACTACAGCTAGTATGCAGTAACTGTCGTCTGATGATAAGTTTCATTAAAGTCAGGGAATGTGGCTAACACATGGTGCATACCAAATATCTAGCACAGTATCCCATATGTTGTAAATATTTTTTTAATGGATGAAATCTCTATTGGTTTTGTTGTTGTGGTTTTTTTTTGTTTTTTTTTTTTTTTTGAGTTTTGCTTCTCGTACCCATTATTTCTCTTTTTGGAAACACCTACCTTTTCTAAGCATATTCTCATGCAAATGAGTTACTCATCTACTTCAAGCAGAATGCACATAATTTCTTTTACATTTCCTCACCCTCTCTATGTGTAGTATTTCCTTGATATGCTAAAGGGCTGTGTGCAGTTCTCATAATCCCAAAGAAAAGGATGTAGTTATCATGTTGGGTACTTTTTTAAAATATGAGTTTTATCAAAACCTAAAAACCAGAAGTGCCTTTGGCATTTCCATGGCATTCAAACTCCTACTTTTTAATCCATTGATTCTGATGACGATTACTGAGGCTCCTGGTACAATATAAGCCTGCATTCTTTTTTAAGGTCTTATGACATTTGGGTTATTCTGGAATTTGTGTTTAACTATTTAAAGATTTCCTATTTTGTCCCACAACGGTTGTCTTCATTATCTTTAAGAACGAAGACATTATTGGCAAGAGGAAGGTCTGGAGGTCTGTTCACCACCTTCAAGGACATTCTTTGGTGTTCTCTTCGATAGCCATGGCCTGAGAAGGGTGATTTTTCCGGGTGAAAGATAGGCTGTGGTGTAAACTAAGACATTCCAAATAAAACATACTCATGTAATATAACCTCGTAGACAGTGCTGTCCAGAAGAACTTTTGGCAGTATTGGAAATATTCTATACCCACAGCATCCAACACAGTACCCACCAGCTATATGTGGTTACTGAGAACTTGAAATGTGTCTAGTATAAATGAGGAGCTAAATTTTTAATGTTATTTAATTTTAATTAATTTTAATATTAATGGAAGCATGTGGCTAGAGGCTACATATTAGCAGTACGGTTCTAGATTATAAATACGGTTCAACTAAAATATTTGCATTTCACTCATATTTCCTAAAAGAAACTGGCAGTAGGAATTAATGTCAGCTTTCTAATCATTTTTGATT